TATATATATGCCTATTTTATAAAGGTTTTCCCCAAGTCAGCCTCAGCTTTGGAGGTCACTTCCTTCATCTTGCTACAGAGTTGTTAGTGATTCACCCGGTCTGCAAACTTTAGAGAGCTGGTATGCAAGTAGCCAAGTAGCAGGAGTGAGCATTTCACTTTATTGAGGTAATTTTAATGTTTGACACAAACAATTGCTTACAGACCAAGAAACAAGACTTTCCATCTGGTTTGTAAAATCATAGTCAAAGAGGGTCTTGGGTCAAGGAAATGCCATGTCCAAAACTTAAATAGTTACAGGAACATTGAGATTTCATCTCAAGAGGCTTAGTTAAATCTCTAGTGGTTCAACTGGGCTCTGAATGTACCTGCATAGATCCTCCAGTAATTTTTTCTTTTGTCCCTGGGGATAATATGTTGTTAGATTGGGATGGGAGTGAAGGTGGAGAAGTGCTTGTCTCTATAGTTCACAAGGAAATCACATCATCAGGGCAGAAGACAAGAAGAACTAAAATAAGTGTCTACATAATATGCAAAAAGTTTCTTGTTATTTTGATGTCTTCAAATCAAATAGTTTAAATGCACTTGATAAATCTTACTATGATCAAAAACATAAAACTCCTATATGATCTTGCATGCTAATATATCATATTTGTTAATACTGAGTCAACAAATATGAAAACAAAAAATGTCAGGTAACTGTGTAACTGTGAGCAGGTTAACTAACTTATTTAGCCCTCAGTTTTTTCAACTGAAAAAGAAGTGTACAGAAAGTAGATGATACACAAGTCTCATCTTTTCTCTTCTAATGTTCTATGATTCTATAAAAAGGAATCATACGAAAGGCACTTATTTAACAATGTGCCTGGAAGGACCTGGAAGAGCCTTCACCCCAAGGACAGTTGACTGAGTTGGATGATGACCTGGACATTATGGCTGTTTATAATAATGATGAGCAGGAATAGACGAGGTTCAGAAATAAAGGGGCTAGAGATGTCATTATGAGAAAAGCCTCTAAAGATCATCGTTATTTAGTCTAGAAAGACATGGGCTAATAACTGAAGGTTGAAGTATCCAAGAGAACGTATGAAGAAGACATACCCAGGATTAACCAGTTAACCACTAAATTCTGATGGGTTATGTCAAGGAAGAAAGAGAGAAAGGGACACACACACACACACACACACACACACACACGCACGCACGCACAGAGAGAGAGAGAGAGAGAGAGAGAGAGAAAGAGAGAGAGAGAGGCAGAGAGAGAAAGAGAGAGTTAGGGAAAGAGCATACTCATGACTCCTAAATAGAAAATAATAGAATTGAGAGTAACTCATGAGTTAGTAAAGGCTTCAATGCAAATGAAGAAATTTCAATGTACATTCTTCTTTGTGTCAAAATGGTGGCCTCCTCCTTCAACAAACCTTGCTCTGCCTCTAAGAGGGACAAAAAACCCTGCCTTCCCGATCCTGGTATTTTGTATGTTCTAGAAAGATAGTGAGTCTTTGTTTTCCCCTGTGATGAGAAAATTAAAATTTAGCTTTATAAACTGATGGTGTTTGCAGCTGGTGTTACACTAGCTGGCAAATGTTCCTACTGCTTATATTTTAAACACTAACCACAAGAGAAAACAGTGGTTCGGAAACAGAATAGATGCTCCAATGCTTGATTTTCTACTTCACCCACTCCAAGAAATTTTCTAAGCCATGTATTCAGCAATTACCTATCTAGAAATCTACTATTAAGAAACATTTAGAGATACAGTCAATGGTGTAGTCCAAGGCTATTTATTGTAATATTATTTATAATAATAAGAAACCTGGAAATAATCTAAATAACCCACAATAGGGTAGTGGTTAAATAAATTATAGTATAAAGTGCAGATACACAAAACTATGGTTATCTCCAGGAGGTTATATTATGGGCAGTTTAAATTTTTTTCTTTATATTTCTGTATAAATAATTATATAATATTTTTCACTTTTTAAAAATTAGACAAATATTTCAATGCCTATTAATTGACAAAGAAATGTGTTTGTTATAATTTTTTTATTTTAAATTATGTAACTAAACTGCATAGGACCCAAGACTTTGCACAAATACGCATTTGCATCTATTCATCTGAAGTAAATATATACAGAATTGTGATACTAGAGTGGCAGAAACATCAAACTTGCCTTTTAAAAATAATTTATTGATGTTTAATTAACCAGAAAATAATTTGGTGATCTTAAGAAGTTTCATTTTTCTACTTTCAGGTACATATTCTCAGCTCCTAAGGATCGCTTTCTTAAAGAAGAAAGAGTTGATTGAAGATTTGATAAGCATGCATGTGCATAGGAGTGGGTCTAGTGTCATTGGAAAAGTGAACCAGGAAATAAAGAGAAAATAATTGGAACTTGGAGCCAATTCATGCCTTGAAATTAAATATACATATATAACATTTCTCTTAACTATTGATTATTTATTTATTTTAAATGGTGGAAATGTCCAGAGGTAAATATTAACCCAAATTCTCTCAGTATACCTATTTAAAGCTTCATTTTTTTTAGGCTGCTAGCACATTTCTTCAAGGTGACATTACTGCCAGTCTATCCCCCAGTCTAAAGGAGTTAAATAACTTCCAGAGATTACTGGGGGATTCTTTGTATTCATTTAATAGTTCATTTTGGGATGCTTGACATGTTAAACTAGTGTGCCATACATTTAACTTGAATACACTGCATGGCTTCCAAGCCTTTAACCACTGGATTGCTTATGCACAGGCACATAAGGGACTATATTTATTAATTACTAGTTACTGACAATCTGTGATACCTGAATCTTGTTTGAGAGCATATTTTTGAATACAAAATGAAGCAAAAAGTAAAACAAAGGGCCGGGCGCGGTGGCTCGCGCCTGTAATCCCAGCACTTTGGGAGGCTGAGGCGGGTGGATCACGAGGTCAAGAGATCGAGACCATCCTGGTCAACATGGTGAAACCCCGTCTCTACTAAAAATAC